TTGTGTTATCCAGGGCCCGATCGTCGGTCGTTCGTTTCTAGTGGCGCACGCGCGACGCGTAATGTAATCTACGCAGAAATCGACGCAATTATTACTGCTGTACACATACATAATATAGGTAAGCGGCGTCATACGTTACCGCGGTCGCGGTAATGCCCGAGATACCTAATCAATATACGAAAACATGTTATAAAATGGCAAAAAGCGACCGCAAACGAGGGTAAAATATAACGCGTACATAAGTATATTATATACAATATTATACTATATGACGTGTTGTATATAGCGCATGGAACGCACAGCAGTCCGGTGCGGCGACACAATCCGCTTTCGAAAGGTCTAAATTAGGCGGTGACGGCGACGACGACGGGACCACCAAAACAAACAGACTCGTAAATTAATTGTCAACTCTGGTAACCGCACCAATTAACGTGATGTCATTAAACATTAAGTTGCCAGYGGTGGCGGCGGCGGCGGTGCCTGCATAACGTCGTTACGTTTTCTACCCTCCTCGACCCTGTAGAACCAGGACTCCCGCGCCCCATTGCTCGGGAATCGCGCGCGCGAGCCGTCTGTCTGTTTAATTCTCATTTGTCACCTCAAACCCCTTTTTCAGCCRTCCCGCGCACGTTCCTCACCGCACCGCGACGCGCGTATACGTCATGTACTGCACATGATTGTTCAACACAATATAAACATAATAATAATCATAATCATAATAATAACAATAATATATTCTTCTGTCTCGGATACAGCAGCAGCCGTTCGACGTCAGTCCGTCCATCAGTCATACCGACACGCGCACGTGACTATAATATTATACGTAAACAGAGCCACTGCAGAGGTACCCATTATGTATCAGTGGTTTTCAAACTTTTGACTCGTGACTTAATTGTCTTGCCATATATTTTTTGCGACCCATGTCAGCTTTGTTAACCAAAAAAAAAGTTCGAATTGCTTAATGACGACGTCTTGGTATGCCATTGCAGAAGATTTTTAAAATTTTAAACAGTATAGACTTATCGCGACCAAAATTGGACATAGTTTGAAGACCACTGCTATACATTTAATATGCTGATTGCTGTATAATAAGACTACGATCGATAGATCGCGCAAGACTAGCCTACCGCTTGYAGTATTTATCTCGCGACGACGACGACGATTTAAAACTCAGGACGCATGACGACGTGCCTATACAATAATAAAAATAATATATTTTATATAAACGGACGGCAACGGCGACGGTACGTTGTCCTCGAGTCGGATCGAGCACACACACACACACACACACACACACACACAGAATAAAACAATTTTTTACCCAGCACACCGCTTCAGGTGTATATATGCACATTATAATAACATATCGGCCGCCCCTTTTTTTTCTCCTCTCGATCGCCATACCGTACAACGAACGCGGCGTTTGTATGCAAATTCCGTGGCACATTTGCATAAGTACGAGCGCCCGTGTAGCGGTATTGTCTCGTTGCATGTCGTCGTTAAACGCTTTTCGATTTTTGCGACGGACTATCCGAAACAATGGCCGCACTCTCATGTTGCGAGCCGCATTATATATACGTAACATACATCGTAGCTATAGGTACGCTCATATTATTATTATTATTAAAGATTGCGTGTTTATAGTTTTATACTGCATGGCAGATAGGTGACTGTCCGACGACCGCTGCACGTGAACGCGCGAGGTCGTGGCCAGTGCATTTCATATACTGCAGTTTAAACAGCAAGAGGAAGATCTACGTGAATAAAGTATGTATTATACTATTATYATAGGCGTGCAGTGCTGCACTCGTATTCGTCCGAACAAACGTGAGGAAAAAAAACAGGCGCGTAGCCTTAATTTTCTATTTAAATACTATTTTATGACTTGTAGGGAGCTTTAGACTCTATTGTAGGTAGTCATATACATTTTCATGCGTTACTACAATGTCATATGTGAAATATAACACCATTTGTCCATTTGAAATATATTTTTGTCATATAGAAATATAGTATATTGTAACAAATATATATTTTTCCATAATGATCTCAATTCTATAAAGTCACACTGAATAACAGATTCTGCCGGAACGTTCTACATACCAAATTGCATAAAATAATTTATAAAACTTGATTCATTCGGTGGATCAGGGAGAGAAAAAGGGCGCGATCGACACCRGTCCGATGACCGGACCATTAGCATTCCTCGGAGTATCTCGGTCGCGTCAAATTATTGCCCGGTGACTGGCGTCGCCGTCGATTGATTAATATTGCGACGACGACCTGCACCCTGCACGTCATATACATGGGTACAGTTCGCGTACCCAGTTCGGCCGAGCACAAAATAATAATATAAAACGGCCAGGTAAGCGAGTTATGGGGTATATATTATATATATATAATATTATACACGACACGCGTGATGGCGAAAATAATAAGAAAAACGTCCGGCCAAAAGGTATTATAAATGATGCGGCGGAAAATCAACAGGGGCACACACACACGAACGCGTATAATATAATACCTTACATTATATTATATTATTATTGCCTAAGGTGTGCAATAATAATAATAATAGTAATAATACGATCGCGCATATTGTGCAATCCCGAGACGCGGCGGCGGCCATTGTGCGCGAACGTTGTTCAAGAGTGCTGGCGGCACGTGATTTATGGCGGGGKACGATGGGCCCGTTCAAACTGGTTGACGACAAAAGAATATAAACGAATAAACGCGATATTTGACGTCTTATGTGGCGGCGACACGTTGTTGGTCGGAAATTCCTGCACCTTTTGTCAATCAGCAGCAGCTATCTTCTTCTGGTCGTCGATGATTTTTTTAATAAAATTTTTAATATTAAAAAACGCGCCCGGTCATCGGCAGGCCAAGGATTTTTTTTCTGACCACTTTCAATCGTCGTCGTCCACGCATAATATACGCACGCCTCAACCCCCCCGCACTCGTCGTCTCCACCAACCGACAGTTCGACAAC